AGCCCCGCGTCGGGCTCCGGGCTAATGGCTCGGAGCCTGGAGCCTGTTTCCGATTCTGTGTCTCCCTCTCTCTCTGCCCCTCCCCCGTTCATGCTCTGTCTCTCTCTGTCCCAAAAATAAATAAACGTTGAAAAAAAAATTTTTTTAAAAATAAAAAAAATAAATGTGTTCAAATTACTAGAGAAAACTATGTCAAACTGACTAAAGCCAAAACCAAAACTGGCTCAAGAAGAAACAGAAAATCTGAAAAGACCCATAATAAGTAATGATACTGAATCAGTAATCAAAAAACTTCAATGAAGAAAAAACCCAGGATCAAATGGCTTCACTGGTAAATCCTACCAATTGTTTAAAAAAGAATTAACACAAATTTTTCTTAAACGCTTTCAAAAAAATAGAAGATGGGTGAACACTTACTAACTCATTTTATGAGCAGTATTATCTGATACCAAAGCCAAAGACATCACAAAAAAAGGAAAATTGCAGACCAATATCCCTTATGAATATATACAAACATCTTCAACTAAATGTTAGCAAATCAAATGCCACAGGATATTAAAAATATTAAATACTAATGGCCAAATGGCATAAATCCCAAAAATACAAGGTAAGTTTAACATATGGAAATAAATCAATGTGATAGACCATAATAATGGAAATAAAGCAGAAAAATACATGATTATTTCATTAGATGCAGAAAAAGAATTTGACAAAATCCTTTTCATGATAAAAGCACACCCTTTCATGATAAAAGCACAAAACAAACTAGAAGTAGAAGGTAAACTCCTCAACCCAACAAAGGACATTGATGGAAAATTCATAGCTAACATCATAATGGTGAAAGACTGAAAGCTTTTCTCCCTAAGATCAGAAACAAAACAAAGATGTATACTCTTTACACATCTATTCAACACTGTACTGGAATTTCTAGCCAGGGCAATTGGACAAGACAAACTAAAAGAATCCAGATTGTAAAGACAGAAGTAAAACTCTTATTTGCAAGTGATATGATCTCATATTTGGAAACTTCTAAAGGATACACACAAAACAAAAAAACTTATTAGAGATAATAAAGTTAAGCAAAATTGCAGGATATAAGATCATTACACAAAAATCAATTTTATTTCTGTACACTAGCAATAAACAATCTGAAAATGAGATTAAGAAAATAATTCTATCATCAAAAATAAAACATTTGGGAATAAAGTTAACCAAGGAAATGCAAGGCTTGTATACTGAAAGCTCTAAAACATTTCTGAGAGAAATTTAAGAAGACCTAAATAAATACAAAGTCATCTCATGTTCATGGACTGGAATATTGTTAAGATGGAAATATTCCCCAAATTGATCTATATATTCAATGTAATCCCTACTGCAATTTCAACTGCTCTTTTTCCAGAAATGGACAAGCTGATCCTAAAATTCATGTGAAATGCAAAAGCCTTTGAATAGGCAAAACAATCTTAAAAAAAAAAAAAAAAAGTTGAAGGACTCACATGTCCTGATTTCAAAACTTACTACAAAGCTATAGTTATCAAGGCAATGTGATAGTGGCATAAAGATAAATATATAAATAAATGGCACAGAGTTGAGAACTCAGAAATACACTCATACATTATAGTCCAATAATTGTCAACAAGGATGGAGGTGGATGGTGTGGGGACTGATAGTCTTTTCAACAAATGGTGTTGGAAAAACTGGACATCCACATCAAAAAGAATCTGGACTCCTACCTAACACCATATACTAAAATTGTACCAAAGACTTAAATGTAAGAACTAAAACTATGAAACTCTTAGAAGGAAACAGGTGTATACCTTTCTAACCTTGAATTAGGAAATGGTTTCTTAGCTATGACACAAAAAGCACTAGCAACCAAACTAAAAATAAAGTTATTTCATCAAAATTAAATGTTTCATACATCAAAGGGCTCTAAGAAGAAAGTGAAAGGGAACCTACAGAATGGGAGAAAATACATGTATCTGCGAGGGTCTAGTATCCAGATTAATCTAACTCAACAATGAAGAACAAATAACCCTATTTAAAAATAAGCAAAGGATCTGAATATACATTTCTTCAAATTAGATATACAAATGACCAATAAGCACATGAAATGATGCATCATTGGTCATCAGGGAATGCATATCAAAACCACAATCTGATAAGACTTCATACCCGCTAGGATGGTGATATGGGCTGAATTGTGTCCCCCAAAAATCCATATGTTGAAGTTCTAACCCCTGTTACCTCAGAATGTGATTATTTGGAGGAAGGTCCTTTAAAGTGGCATTTAAGGTAAAATGAGATGGTTTGGGTGGGTCTAATCTAATATGACTCATGTTTTCATAAGAGAAGATTAAGACACATACACAGGAAAGACCATGTGAAGACGCAGAGAGAAGATAGCCATTTACAAAACAAGGAGAGAGACCTTCAGAAGAAACTAGCCCTGCCAACACTTTGATATACTTCCAGCCTCCAGAATTGTAATAAAATACATTGTCCAAGCCTGTGGACAGTCTGTGGTAGTTTGTTACATTAGCCCTAGCAAACTAATACAGAGGGCTATTTTTAAAAATAGACAATAACAAGTTGGTACTGAAGATGTGGAGTAATTTGACCCTCATACATTGCTCATGGGAATTTTAAATGATGCAGCTCATGTGGAAAAAATTTTTACAATTTCTTAAAAACTAAACACAGAGTTATCATATGATCCAGCAATTCCACTCCTAACTATGCCCAAGAGAACTGAAAAATATGTCCACAAAAAACCTGCATGTGAATGTTATTAGCAGTATTATATACAACAGGCAAAAAGTAGGAATAACCCCAAAAAAGATATTCAGATGGCCGACACATGAAAAAATGCTCCACGTCACTCATTATCAGGGAAATACAAATCAAAACCACAATGAGATACCACTTTACACCTGTCAGAATGGCCAACATTAACAACTCGGGCAACAACAGATGTTGGTGGGGATGTGGAGAGAGAGGATCTCTTTTGCATTGTTGGTGGGAATGCAAGCTGGTGCAGCCACTCTGGAAAACAGTATGGAGGTTTCTCAAAAAACTAAAATAGAACTACCCTACGACCCAGCAATTGCACTACTAGGTATTTATCCAAGGGACACAGGTATGCCATTTCGAAGGGGCACATACACCCCAATGTTTATAGCTGCACTATCAACAACAGCCAAAGTATGGAAAGAGCCCAAATGTCCATTGATGGATGGATGAATGGATAAAGAAGATGTGGTATGTATATGTATATGTATATATATCTATATCTATATATATATGTGTGTGTGTGTGTGTGTATACACATACATATATACATATATATGTATTACTTGGCAATCAAAAAGAATGAAATCTTGCCATTTGTAACTACGTGCATGGAACTAGAGGGTATTATGCTAAGTGAAATTAGTCACAGAAAGACAAATATATGACTTCACTCATATGAGGACTTTAAAACACAGAACAGATGAACATAAGGGAAGGGAAGCAAAAATAATAAAAACGGAGGGGGACAAAACATAAGAGACTCTGAAATATGGAGAACAAATAGAGGGTTACTGGAGGGGTTGTGGGAGGGGGAACGGGCTAAATGGGTAAGGGGCATTAAGGAATCTACACCTGAAATCATTGTTGCACTATATGCTAACTAATTTGGATGTAAATTAAAAAAAATAAAATTAAAAAAATTTTTAAGTCAGGCTCTGGGCTGATGGCTCAGAGCCTGGAGCCTGTTTCCGATTCTATGTCTCCCTCTCTCTGCCCCTCCCCTGTTCATGCTCTGTCTCTCTCTGTCCCAAAAATAAATAAACGTTGAAAAAAAAATTTTTTTTTAATTTTTAAAAAGTAGGAATAACCCAAGTATCCATAAACTGATGAAAAGACAAACAAAATATGGTTTATCCAATACAATGAAGTACTATTCAGCCATAAAAAGGAGTAAAGTACTAATACATACTACAACATCGATGAACCTTGAAAAAATTACGCTATGTGAAAGAAGCCAGACAGAAAAGTCTAACTAGTACATAATTTAATTTATATAAAGTGTCCAGATTGAAAAATCTGTGAAGACAGAAAGGAGATTAGTGGTTGACAAGGGATGGAGGGAGAAAGGGGATGAGGAAATTGGGAGGTATGGGGTTTCTTTTAAGGATAATGGAAAGTTCTGGAATTAGTGGTGATGATTACACAAGCTTGCAAATATTCTAAAAACCACTGAGTTATATACTTTATGTGGTTAAAATGGTGACTTTTATGTTATGTGAATTTTATCTTAATTTTTAAAAAAAACTACATTGAGATATCACCTTACGACCAAAACAATGGCTAACATTTAAAAAAAAAAATTTAAATCTTTATTCACTTTTAAGAGACAGAGAGAGAACATGAGGGGCGGGGGGCGGAGAGAGGGGGGACACAGAATCCAAAGCAGGCTCCAGGCTGTCAGCACAGAGCCCGACGCAGAGCTCGAACCCACAAACCGTGAGATCATGACCTGAGCCAAAGTTGGAAGCTCAACTGACTGAGCCACCCAGGCGCCCCATCAATGGCTAACATTTTAAAGACTGGTGCTACCCAATGTTGACAGGGACAGGAGCAACTGAAACTTTCATAGGTTGCCAGTGGGGATTCAAAATGACTCAGCCACATTGGAAAACAATTTGGCAGTTTCTTATAAAGTTAAACATACACTTACTATATATCCCAGCAATCTCACTCATAGGTATTTTACCCAAGAGAAATACCTTGGGTATACATATATGAAATATATATATATGGATATATATATATATATCCATATGAAGACCTACATGTGAATATTGATAGCAGCTCTGTTCATAATAGCCCCCAAATGGAAACAACTCAAATGTCCACCTAACAGATTGTGGTCCCAGAATGACTAAAGGTAAAAATACTGATAATAATAGCAATTTCATTCCTGGAGATATACACAAGAAAAGTGAGTGAGTATATCCATTTAAAAAGACACACACAGGAAAGTTTACAGCATTATTATTCAGAAGGTCTGAAAATTTGCCACAACCCAAGTGTCAATTATCAGTAAAACGGATAAGTTAAATGTGGTATAAATCACACAATGGCATTTACACAGCAATTAAAAAGGAAGAACTACTGGTACATGTATCAACAAGGATGAATGTACACACATAATGTTGAGCAAAAGAAGCCAGACCTAAGAGTATATACTCTATGATCCCATTCACAGAAAATTCAAGAAACTAAAACAATTTTATGGTGATAGAAGTCAGAATAGTGGTTATCCACAGAGGATGGAGAGGGGGCAGGCGGTGAAAGGTACAATGGGCATCACCTGAGAAGCACCTGAGAGATGTCTGGCATCACCTGAGAAGCACCTGAGAGATGTCTGGGACACTGGAAAGTTCATGCTCCGGTTAGCAGTTACATAAGTGCACACACATGAAAATTTATCAAGCTGAACATTTAAGATTTATGTACTTATGTGCCCAATTAGTAAGTGTTTTAAATTTTCAAAGAAAATAAAAACTACCCCAGTCTACCTACCTGCCTCCAATTCATCCATAGTCCCATTAAAATTATCCTATGAGATTTTTCAAAATATTATAATAGCTCAAAGATTGCCTTAAATCTTTTTTTTTTTTGACATCCATGACCCCAGATTTCCCAAGCTTAAGGTAACTATTTATGAACTAAAAATTCATTAAAGAAAGTTAATACCTACCTTACACTTTGATGTTAGCCTTCACCAAAGGATCCTTCCAGCTAAATGTCCAGTGGCACAGGCAGAGTCAAAATACTTGGTAAAGTCACCACCAAACAGCCACTGACTTACTCATTATTTAGACAAACAAAAGACGAAGTCCCTCTCTTCAAGTAGATATTAAACAACCAGAGTGTTTTTGCTCTTTCTTACGTGCAGCTTTCTCATGCTGTCCTCTGACGCTCCATTGCTCAGGCTCTTCGTTCTCCCCGGTGTCCAAGGAACCCCTGCTGAGGGCTGCTCTTACTCCTTAATATCTTCCCATAAAGATAACCCTAGGAGCCCTAAAACAGACCAAACCAGGCAGCAAGATAATTTGTCAGAGGTGAGCTCTATTCCATAACATCCACAAGTCTCTGCACTATAGGGACTCACAAATCTGCAAAGCTCCATTCAGGATTGAGAGATGGGAAGAACAAAGCATTTGGGATAGAGAGGAGAAAAAGGCTAATCTAAATTTCATATTCTGACTACCAAACTCCTAGAATTGTACCTCTGGTTTAAAAGCCTGGACATTGAGAGTTCTTAATTTAATCAGCCCACACAGGTTAGGAAAGAAATAGATTCTAGCAAGGGGTGAGTGCTGTAATGTTTTCATCAAAGACGACTGCAGAACATACACTCATACATACATTCCATCAGCTTTCCAGATTAATTTACTATTATAAGACCACTATTTAAATCTTCCTTGTTTCAAATTAAATCTTTAGTTTGCCACCACCGTAGCAGGCTAAGATGTAATCTTAGGTTGGAAAAATGAGAAACCATGTGGAAAAAAAAAAAAAAAGAAAGGAAACATTCCACAACCATAAAGAATTAGGAAATCACTGTACCAGACTACAGGATTCTGCAGGGGAAAGAACTATGTCACCATGACAACCTGGGATATTTTTATTGAGAGAGTTGATAGGTTCTACAGAAACATTTTTCATAATTTGGAGGCTGAAAGTAATATATAAGAACATGTGTGGGAGTTGAGAGACATTTCAAATTTGGATTTTCATCTTTTTTTTTTCAGCTTTTCCTTGCAATCTACATGTTGCCAAATCTTGTTTTTTAAGGGCGAAGGGATAAAAGTAATTTTTATACCCCATATTCATATATAAGCATTAGGTACATGTGTGTATTTATGTAACTTCACTCATTAACAAAGAATACAAAGTTTCTTGACAAGCAGGGGAAATTTGTATCAATTAATGGCTCAAAATAGTTTATATATTTGCATACCCATCCTTGGCTTAAAAATCTGAAAGTATCAGATAGACATTTCTGTCATGTATTGTATCCATACTATATTACTTCTCATTTGACTTCATAACATTTTTATCTTCTATTTTTAATTTCCTTTGTACCATTTCCCAAAGAGTCTGTATATGGTTCTGCTACATGTGTATTATCCACCTGGTATATGCTAGTTTACTTAACAAAGTGTATGTTTTCAATGTTATTTTGCCTACAAAGCAGATGTAAAATAAAACAAAACATTTGTCTCTCTGTGTCTTATAACAGATACTTCACAGCTATCATTTATTCAAGCTTCACAATATTTTACAGGTATTATTATCCCCATTTTAGAGATGAAGTAACTGTTATCAAGGAGATGATATATTTGCTACTTCCACAGGGAAGTGTCAGGTCTGTGTTAAAACCCAGGTCTATTTGACACCTGAGAGTCTTCCCATTTCCTATGTTACATTGAATCTCAACGTCCTCATAATTCTTGAAGCACAGACTTTGCACTTACAAATAAATAAATAAACTGTTTCTGGACAATAAAGCAATATATAATGCAATATAATACAACATATCTATACTTCCAGCTAAGATACCTGTAATTTCTTGCATTGAAGACATCCTCTGCTCCAAACACATATCAACGACACATAAAATATAAAAAGAAAAATTATGAAACAAATAAAGAGGGTGCCTGGGTGGTTCAGTCAGTTGAGCATCCAACTCCTGATTTTGGCTCAGGTCATGGTCTCACAGGTTGTGGGATCAAGCCCCACACTGGGCTCCATGCTGGGCTTGGAGCCTGCTTGGGATTCATTCATTCATTCATTGATTCTCTCTCTCTCTCTCTCTCAAACTAAATTAAAAACGATACAAACCATTATCATGCTCAGAAACCATATAAACCTCTCTGAGGCCCAGAACACCAAAGCTGAGGCCTGCTGGGCTCCCCATCTAGGAATTTTGTACTGCTGTGTACAGGGACCAAAAATCCTCCCAAGAAAGGGAAGGGATGAATTCAAGTTCACTGCTGAAACCAGGGGCTTCTTCACCCATGAAAAAAAGTTAAAAAGGGCTGCAGTGACTCCTTCTAGAGCCATGGCTTAGGGAGCCAGGAGAAAGGTGACACAGCACCACACCCAGGACCTGGGCCAAGCTGCCCACTAGTTCAGAGACTGGATCTGTAATTTCTCTTAATAGCATAGCCAGACAAGCCTAAGCCAGGAATATAAGTCCTAATTCTAGTCTGGGAGTTCCTTGGGGAAAAATGGAGGCAACTAAGAGTTAACAAAGAGTGAGAAAAACAAACAAATTTCCTAATCAGGATGTCTGCATATCAAAATTCCAAAACATATAACGAAATTCATACTTAGAACAGTGACCAACAAAATTAGAGGAGATAAGTTCATCCCAGATGAAATGAACATAAGAAAATGATTTGAAAATGAGTTTTAAATAAGCATGTAAGCATATTTAAGTATTCTCTAAGAAAGTTAAAAGAAAAAATACACGGAATTATAAAAGCAAGGAGAAAAACAAAAGGTTGACATGGAAAAGCATCTACTAGATATCCTGGAAATAACAAAATATAGTCATTGAAGTAAACAATAGACAAAATACACTCTGGTCTCAGTTGGAAGAAAAAGTTTAGTAAATTAATAGAACTGAGGATTCACCCAGATCTCCACATGGCAAGATAAGATGAAAAGGAGAGGAAAGAGAAGGAGGAGGACAGGAGGAGTGGTTAAGAGTAGTTAGGGGCGCCTGGGTGGCGCAGTCGGTTAAGCGTCCGACTTCAGCCAGGTCACGATCTCGCAGTCCGTGAGTTCGAGCCCCGCGTCAGGCTCTGGGCTGATGGCTCAGAGCCTGGAGCCTGTTTCCGATTCTGCGTCTCCCTCTCTCCCTGCCCCTCCCCCGTTCATGCTCTGTCTCTCTCTGTCCCAAAAATAAATAAATGTTGAAAAAAAAATTAAAAAAAAAAAAAGTAGTCAGAAGACAAAAGAATGAAGAGGGTTTAATAGCGATCTAATAGGAATTCCAGAAAAAGATAATAGAGGAAATGGTAGGAAAAACAATATTCACAGAGATAATGGGGTCAACATTTCTGAATTGAACAAAGAAGTTTTCAGAATGAAAGTTCACATTGAATGCTAATTAGTAAAAAGCAATTCTGGGGCGCCTGGTGGCTCAGTCTATTAAGATTCTGACCTTGGCTCAGGTCATGATCTCATGGTCTATGAGTTCAAGCCCCACATCAGGCTCTCTCTGCTCTCAGCACAGAGCCCGCTTTGGATCCTCTGTCTCCCTCTCTCTGCCCCTCCACCACCTGTGCTCTCTCTCTGGCTCTCTCAAAATAAATAAATAAACTTTAAGAAAAAAAAGAAAAAAGCAATTCCACATATACAAAGTAGATCTTAAAAACCAACAGGAGAAAGGGCAGGTTAGCTGCAATGGAATGACATTTAGACTTACAGCAGACTTAATCAGCAACAATAGATGTTAGAACACAATGAGTAATTAAGAATACTATGGAAAAATAACTGTGGGTCTCAAAGTATATCAAACCCTAAATATCATTCAAGAAAGAAACCAAAGTAAAGATATTATCAGTGACACAAAACTAAGAGACCTTATCACAAACACTTGCTAAGAAACAAGAATGAGCAAAGAAATTCTTTTGAATATGTTGGTGAATTTGCTTATTATTAAAAGGCTAATTTTGAGGGAACAAAATAAACTAAGAAATACGGGTAGCAATGTTTAGTGAAAAGTTAACGTCTAGTAAAGTCTTATTTGGGAAGAAGACAGAAATAAGATTTTTATTAGATATTTTGTTAGGAATAGAAATGGAATTAGTATTTGGCATAAGGGAATTTTTATACATACCTAGTAGAAGTACAACCAATTTGGAGAGCAATTTCTAGTAGATGAGGATGTATTCTTCCCTCTCAGCCAGCAATTCCAATTCTAGGAACATGTAAAGAAAACATCCCAGGGGCGCCTGGGTGGCTCAGTCAGTCAGTTGAACTTCCAACTTCGGCCTAGGTCATGATCTCTCAATTCTGTTTGTGAGTTCATGTCCCACATTGGGCTCATCGGACTCACAGCTCAGAGCTTGGAGCCTGCTTCAGATTCTGTGTCTCCCTTTCTCTGCCCCTCCTGCACTGGCAGTCTGCCTCATTCTCTCTCTCAAAAATAAACAAACATTAATAAAGAAACAAAATGTTTAAAAAAATCACAAATGCGAGCAAGGAGACATACAAGAATATTCATAACAGCATTAGTAATAATAGTAAAAAACTATAAACAACGTAAATGTGTATCAGCAGAATAAAGGATTAGTAAATTGTGATTTGTATTTGGAATACTGTGTGCAGTAGGAAAAAGTGAATGAACCAGAATTAGAAGTAGAAACATGAGTAAAATCTTATAACGTTGAGAATAAAAAACAAGTCGCAGAAAGATGCAGAGTATAACATTCTAGTTTTAAAATGTTTAAAATTTAGTTTTAAAATATTATATGTTGTATATAATACTTAAAATCAATGGAAAACTTAACAGTACATGGGAATGAAAAAAGCCAAAATCAGGATAGTAGTTACCTTTGGGAAGATGAAAAGGAATGGCATTGTGTATGGGGTACCAAGAGGCTTCAACTATACTTGTAATATTTTCTTTTTTTTAAAGCTTATTTTATTTCTTTTCAGAGAGAACACAAGCAGGGGAGGGGCAGAGAAAGAGGGAGACACAGAATCTGAAGCAGGCTCCAGGCTCTGAGCTGTCAGCACAGAGCCTGACATGGGGCTCGAATTCATGAGTTGTGAGATCATAACCTGAGCTGAAGTGGGACGCTTAACCAACTGATCCACCCAGGCGGCTCTTGTAACACTTGACTTCTTAAGCTGGGTGTAGGGATAAATGAATAAACGAATGAGTGAATGAATTTTAACCGCAAATGTCATCAGAGTATACCTGATAAAGAGGTATAACTAAAACAGTACCTGGAAAGATTATTTAAATTGGAACTTAACAAACTACAAATGTTATGCATTTGTTATGGTATCAACATATTTTCTTTCCCCTAGCTTTATTGAGGTATGATTGGCAACTAAAAACTATATATTAAGGTATGCAATATGATGTTTTAATATATGTATACATTTTTAAATGATTATCACAATCAAGCTTAACATACCCATCACCTCACCTACTCACCTAGTTACTATTTGTGTGTGTGTGTGTGTGTGTGTGTGTGTGTGTGTGTGTGTGTGTGTGTGTGTTGAGGACATTTAAGATCTACTCTCTTAGCAAATTTCAAATATACAATACATTATTATTAACTATACTCACCATGCTATATAGTAGGTCTCAGAACTTCATCTTATAACTGCAAGTTTGTAACCTTTGACCAATACGGTATTACCTTCTGATTCTTTCTGTCCTCTAGAAACTAGCGAAGGCCTTCTCCAGTTGTGTCAAAGTAAAACGTTTCTGTTTCAGTTTGTTTTGGACTTTTCTTCTTTCTCCTGGCTCTGCCTTGTTTGCCGATCCAATCTGGACATCCCAGTCCAGAGGCTGAAATGGTCACTTCCCTGCTTAAGGATTGGAAAAACAATTTTCAAACAATTCTAAGTCTCTCTGCTATTGTTCAAAATTTGTATTCTGAGTATTATTTTCTCTTCGGCCACATTTCTATAGTTCTAGCCATGTCTATTTCTAGTTGTACAGTACTTAATTCCTTCATGAGCTTCGCTGAACCTCTGTTACACCCTGAAAGGTGCCTCCACTAGTGACTTACTCCTCAGGAGGAGAGACACTCTCTGACTTCATGCCACTGCATCTCTCCATCTCATCTCTCTTCATAATCAGCCTTGGCAGTTTCAGTGAAAGAGAGCAGTCTTACCTGCTTTATAGTTTGGGCAGGAAGAACGTTCATGGACCAAGAGTAAACACAGAAACACAAAAACTCATCAGTCTAGGAATTCTTGAGAGTCCCCATATCACAGAAATGTGGGATTTCAAGCTCTTGCACTTTCTTTTAAACATCAGTCCCTCTGGGAGAGGTTTATTAACTCACACTTTTGCCATATTTGCTACTCACACCCCAGTCCAGTCAATTCAAGTTCCTGAGGTCTTAAGGAGTCCCCTAGTAGCTGATGAGTATCTGTATGCTTGTCCAAACAACTTGGTTTCCTTTTAGTAGAGAACTTGGACCCTGAAGTTTTCTTGACCACCCTTCTTCACTGCCTCAATCTATGACTATCTGTGCAATTATGATGGGGTGGTATTTTGAAACATCAATCAATGTCTGTACCCATTTCTAGTTAACATTAAACTACTTCAAGAAAGAAATCACCTGCTCACTAGAGATTGGCCTTAATTATGTAAACTTTGATTCTTACAACATTTCTTATTAGTTTCTATAATAATATATTTTTCTTTTAAGTATATCACATTTAAAGTGTCTTTATCTTTTTTTTCAAGTAATTTTAGGAATTAAACTTATAGAAGTGCTAAGGTACCTGGCTGGCTCAGTCAGTGTAGCATATGACTCTTGATCTCTGGGTTGTGGGTTCAAGCCCCACACAGGGTGCAACGATTACTTAAAAATAAAATGTTTTAAAAATATTTATACAAGTGCTAATTTATCTCTATAAACCAATTAGAGCGCAGCTCCTTTAGTAAAATAAACTTCATAATTTCACTTATTAATATCTTCCAGATGTAGGACATCTCACGTTCATATAATGAGAGGTAAAGCCCTTCGTAAATAACAGACACATAGACACACAGGCAAATAGAGAACTTATGGCTTTGAGTCTACAATTTCAGCCACGTGTCAAGAGTCAACACAGAAGCACAAAATCTCTCTAGTTGAGATGCCAAAGAGGTGTTTTTCCCAGTGGGCACAGAATTCTTGAGCTCAAAATAGACAGACAAATGAACAAGAATAACAAGCCAGATTCTCTGCTGTCTTTCACTCCATACAAAAAAGATCTCTGTAAGCCATTAATCCTTTTACAGAGATCACCAAGTGGCCAGACCACACTACCAAATTGCCAATCACTGCTGCCACAGGAGAGGCATAATTTATTGACCATATACAAACCAAAACACAAAACCAGTGGAGAAGAAAATTAAAATTAGGAAAACAGAAATTGAAGAAAATTCTGGTGTGCTTCAGATCCACCTCTGAAAGCAGGAAAAGAAATACCTACACTGGGCAATCCATGAGCTAGAGCTCCCTGGTCATAAGTTGGTCTGCTTCTGTCCAACGAATCCACTGGGCATCTTGGTGGGAACTGCAAAACTGTTAAAGGAGAACTCTAAAAGAAATAATTTAAAAAGTAGTTATACAAAAGGATTTTATGTAACTCTTTTATTAACCTTCTCTGATAGATGTTACAATTTGTTCCAGGAGAATCCAAACAGCAGACACTTTACAGATCAGGAATATTGATTGACCTTGCAAATGAATGCAAAACTGGCTTTTCTGCAGAGAAGGAGAGTTCTCTCTCCATTGGAGAGAACTCAACTCACATGTTCACAGATAATAATCATTTGTATTACCATCTGTTCTCTACAAGTTAACTTTAATCACTACAGAATTCTAAAATAGTCTGATTCAAGATAAAGGTGAGTATCTTTCAGGATCAGACAATCCTGCAAACTCCAGCATTCCATTGAAAGGACATCCATTAATCTTTTTTGCTTATTTCAAAGTGTTACATTTCTCCTTAACACATTACAAACGAGAGGACATAGGATGTACTAGAGGGAGAAGTTTCTGCTCATTCACAGATCTGCTCTACTTCTGGCCCTGTGTTTATCACTCATTCAAAAATATCTACAATCTACTGTGTATTTAGCACAGCACTAGGTGGGGTAAATTTTGAAAATAATGGGTCATGGTCCTTGCTCACAAGGAACTTACAATCTCATTATGGAAATAAGACATACAAGAAAGTAGCCAATAGGGGCGCCTGGGTGGCGCAGTCGGTTAAGCGTCCGACTTCAGCCAGGTCACGATCTCGCGGTCCGTGAGTTCGAGCCCCGCGTCAGGCTCTGGGCTGATGGCTCAGAGCCTGGAGCCTGTTTCCCATTCTGTGTCTCCCTCTCTCTCTGCCCCTCCCCCGTTCATGCTCTGTCTCTCTCTGTCCCAAAAATAAATAAAAAACGTTGAAAAAAAATTAAAAAAAAAAAAAAAAAAAAGAAAGAAAGTAGCCAATAAATATAATAAACTGCAAAATTTTTAGTACAACCAGAAAAGAGGGCAATATAAAATAGAAATACATCTGACCATCATTATTGATGCACTATGTATTTGTGAATTTGCCTACCTACTAAAATTTATCTGTAACTCCAAAACCAATACTTGCAAGTGCTTTTGCATTCATTCATGGACACACGCAGAGTGGTGAAAATTTTTGTTGTTGCATACTCCCAGCTGAGCTTGAAGGAAGCAAAGCTTGCCTTCCTGTTTCAGCCCTCACATTATAAACAACTGTACTCTTCACAGTCTATTTAGTACTATGTTTTCCACATTTTTGTGCTTTTGTTGGTGATTTTGCTGTTTAAAATGGTCCCCAAGGGTAGTGCCGAAGCGCTGTCCTAAGTGCTTAGGATCCTAAGCACAATTCTGTGATGTGCTTATGGAGAAAATATGTTAGCTAAGCTTCACTCAGGCTCGGCCACGAATTCAACGTTAAGGAGTCAAAAATATATACTAAATGAAGTGTCTTTAAGCAGAAACACATATAAACCAAGGTTATGTATCCATTAGGGGGCTAAAATGCGACGAGAGGCTCAGGGGAACCTAGCCCTGTATCCCCACTAGAAGCAATTGTTCGGTATTCACTATTACGGCGTTGGCAGTAACTTTATAGAACATTAACAATCACAAATGATGGCAATCAACTATACTTATACTGAGGAAAAATGTTTTTCAAGTACATCCGATTTCCTTATTAACATAAAAGAGAACGAGAAAAAAGCCTTCCCAAGAATTTCCTCCACTCACTGCTCTCCCAAAGAGCCTACAATTGCAGTAACCTTCCCCCCCTCCCCACTTTATTCTTCCTTCTTCCTCAGTTTCCCTCTCCCTCTCCCCCACTTTATTCTTCCTTCCTCAGTTTCCCTTTCCCTCTCCTTCTCCCCCTCTCCCTTTCAGAGGGGTCTCCACTTAAAGAATGTTTTCCAATAATCTAGAGTCCTATACTAATATTGAGAGACACGAGACACACACACACACACACACACACACACACACACACACACACACTTAAAAGTGAGCCCTAAGGATGCGTTCCAAAATTAACTGCAAAAACCCTTGGTATCACAGTTCTATGGGTACACTGTTCCCCACCTAGGGCGTCCGCCTTTTGAATCTCCCAAGGACATCATAAAAATACGCTAAAACACGTTTTTTTCTTCTTAGCTCTCACGAAGTCACCACCTCCTACCCTCCCGTAGGCCTACACAGAGCTGTTCGGCTCTTAGTTTAGTTCTTGTTTCTTTAAGACAGAAGTCGGGTGTTTGCCCTATTCCGAAATGGCCGCCCATGCTTCCCCCGCTCTGCGCATGATACTTGAACGCAATTCGGAGTTGTAATTCGCAGACTTTCGCGGCGCAAGATGGGGACTTGGCGGCCGGCGAGCCCAAACCTCCCAGCATGCCTTGCAGCCCGGCCGGGAGTCCCGACGTCTAGTGATGGGGAGCCCCTGGTGCTTTCGGCCGCCGCATCGGGTGTAGAGGTCGAGCCCCGAGCCTGGGAATTGGACGACCGCAGAGAAGAAAATGGAAGCGTGGCGCTGTGTGAGGAGGGGCTACGGCCGCTGTGTGGTGGGAAGAGGCCGGTCAGTAGGGCTGGGTGGCAGGAGGGAGGAGGGAGGAGGGAGGGGCGCGGGGGGGGGGCGGCCCGGGTAAACCCGGGGCGGGGCGGGCTGGGGGAGGAAGGAGGAAGAGGGTCCGGGCGGCGGTGCCGCCGGGACGAGCCTCCGGAGACCCCGAGGGATAGGTAAACCCGGCGCGGAGCCGGCGGGACGCTTGGCCGACGCGGGCCGGGCCGGGCCCGGGTCGGGCCCGGGGCGATCGATCGCCCGCAGGGCTAGTGCCTTCCCGACCTGGCTGGGCCTTGGAGCCCCGGCCCACTTTCCCCCAGCCCTGCCCCCGAGCCAGCCCGAACCCCCGCCCCGGTCCCCGGCCTCCTCCCAGGCCTCGGCACCCGCCGGGAGCTGAGCGTCCGCGGGGAAGCCGCCGGTCCGCAGTAGGTCCCGGGGCGGCCTGACCCCGAGAGGCGCGCGCATCGCACGCACGCCCGGGGGTTTGCTGTTTGCGATGTTAGTGTCTCTCTCTCAAACTTGAGTCATTTGTGTACCAGCCTTTACGATTATTACCGAATTCTCGTTCCACACTTGTGTTTACTGCATTTTTCTTGAAATTGACTCATTTTTTTGAAAAAGCACTTAAGTAGTGCTGCTTATATTAGCATCGCCCCAAGCAGTACCCGTGAAATCTTGGGTTTGATGTACTGATTATGGGTTTTTTCCTAATAAATACTTAGATGTGAAAAATCGAAAAGTTTAATTGTGTACCGTATGAAACGGACTGGTATACCGCACCTGGGAAACAGCACTGTATTAATTATTATATATTATGGGGATCCGGTTTTAATCTCCTATAGTCCGGGCTTGATGACAATTCAGTTCAACAGTGTTTTCCTGAGTACCAGCTGTGTGCCAGGCACTGTGCTAGGCACTTGGGAAGAGGCCAGGATTAAAATGAGTAAGAAAGCTCTGGCCTTGAAGGAGCTTATCATCTTAAGAGCAAAAGACGTCTCTATAAGTAACTAGAAATACAAAGAATAAGTTTTGCAGCCACGAGTATTATATGGCAACATGGTAGCTTATTAGCATGGACCAAGCACCCAAATCTCTATGGCTTTCAGAGTTGTCACAAAGCAGAGTAGCATGCCCATGTCATGCCTTTAAAGATTTACAATTAAGTTGAATTTAGAGAACAATTGGAGAATGCAAAAGTTTATAATAAATTATATAGAACAGCAAAAGTATATGATAAAAATTTTAAAAGCCTTTAAATTAACATATAAAAGTTAAAAAAACAGTAAATACTATTTAAACTAAGTTTCTTTGGTGGTAGAAGTGAACATTATTAATACTGTCTTGGAAGTGTACCTTTAATGAATTCTAGGAAAGGATAGAAGTCCTCTGAATCCAAAATTTTTGCCAGAATAGTATCATAAGAAGATGGTGCTTGAGTTGTATTGTTTCTTAAGAATGCCTGAGAACAAATTATTCAAGTTAATGATAACACTACTTTGGCGATGTTTTGGATGATCAGTATATTGGTTGGAATGTTGGTGAATTATTAATGAGTAAGCTCTATCCCATTTCATTTCCCTCAAGGAGAAGCATGCCATGAAAAAAAAAAAGATGGAAAAATAAATTATCCACCTGCTGATTAGCAAGAGAGGTAGTTTGGTGAAGTTGTGATAGGTTTTTGTTTTCTTAGCTATACAAATGTTTGGAAAATGTAATCTTGGTTAAAAACAACTGTTCAGAAGTCTGTTTTTACTACAAACCCAAGTTGGAGGAGAGATTGGCTTTAATTGTAGTCAGCTCATGTATTCCATAGTGATTTAACTCTTATGTTTGCTGTGGATTGTATTTATCCAGAGTTTATTAGATACTAGAAGTCTACTCTGAAAACCAGTTTGATGGTTAATCTCTCAGTTGAACTGAGGACTTTTTGAAGTGTATGTGGTGTTTTGGGAGCCTGGTGGAGTCTATGTTAAGTATTTAGAATACCATTCATAGGTGTTGAAGGACAGCTTTGAGGTATTGCTACTAATAATTAAATCATGGCTGCTTTTGCCTGTCCTTCATAGATCTTGAAGATTTTTTTTTCAGATTCATATATATATAATATAATTATATTATATAATATATATACATATATATATATTTAGAGAGAGACAGCACATGAGCAGGGGAGAGGGGCAGAGGGAAAGGGAAAGAGAGAGGGAGAGAGAGAATCTTAAGCAGGCTCCATGCTCAGCTCAGAGTTCTACAAGGGGCTGGATCCCACCAACATGAGATCATGACCTGGGCCAAAATCAAGAGACAGACGCTTAACCAACTCAGCCACCCTAGAAGCCAAAGTTTAAATATCAGGCATTATCTTGCCTTGAGGAGACAGATTTGGATTTAATGTGCTATAGCTGAACAAAAAGTGGTACCTCAAGGAGTGTATTTATTTCTTTTAGATACCCCATGTTTCCCCATCACCAGAAGAGTCTGGGCAGAGATTGGACTACACCGTGGGAGAATCTGCAAAGGTGTTGCTGGAACAGACATATTTCTAGTTGTATGAGGTGGCCTGGACATTATTCTCGTGCTCCTTACCCATACTTCAGTAGTAGGCATTTTTCACTACATTGGAGACCACCTTGTTTGTTTGAGTCTAGAACTCCGTTTCAGTACTGGAACTGGAGACCTGACAGCCTGAGCCACAGCTCTTTGATTCATCTCTCTAGTTACATCATGAACTCTGAGGGAGATGAGCCTTCATCAAAACGAAGAAAACACCAAGGTAAAGGTGACGTTTATCTTGGTGGAGAAATAGATGTAAGCCATAGAAGGAAACTTTCCTATCTGATAATCCTTAAAACCTCCTCCGGGTTTTGGAGGGGTTTAGTATTTGTTTTCAACCCATAGTTTTCTATTAGGAAAAAGGAAATTATTTTTTTAAATGATGTCTTGATTTATATCTATTTTTATCTTTTGTGTATTTCTGACAGTAAAAATGCAGGAAACTATATATAAAAAGAGAGGGAGAGAGACAGAGAGAGGGGGAGAATGAGGTTGGGAAAGAATGTAGGACTAGATTAAAACATTAAGTTTAAGAATAATTATCAAATCCCATTGATTTAAAAACAGGTCCTTAGACTTTCTAGAAATTGGTATATGTTCTTGGGAGTCCACAGATCTATAAAAAAATTAAATTTCAGGTTTTTATTATTTGCTTATTTACTTTAAAGATTTTATTTTTAAGTAATCTCCACACCCAACATGGGACTCGACCTCACAACCCTGAGATCAAGAGTCGCACGTTCCACTGACTGACCCAGCCAGGTGCCCCTCATGTTTTTATTTTTAATGCTAACTTTTTAATGTAAGACCAAAGGATATTCTTAAAGACACACAATCATTAATTGAAAGATATTTTCTTACAGAGTAAGATTTTAGCTTACTCAACGTATTTATTGTACTGAGGTTTATACATATAATCTTGAGTCTGTGGGATGTCTTATCTTTTAATAAGGGAACCACATCTTTTTCAGCTTTGAGAATGAGTTTTTTCTAAATATGTTGATTATTTCTAGATTTGTCAGATTGTTTACAATTCACTAGACTCGCTCTGTGCTGCCAGCCCTGCCTCCTCCCCCAAAGTATGTATGAATTATCTCAGTGGAACTTGGAGTTGTTTTTCTTACTGGGCTATGTTTTTGGTGAAGATAATTCCTCTGGAGATATTTGAAAATAGACCGTATAAGTGTTTCTGTGTAGAGAGCTGACATAAGTTTGTCAAAGGAAGACGTACAGAGTTAGTCTCACTTGGAAGTCAGAGCTCGAAGGTTAGCTAGATGATTAATTAGTGCTCTTTTAAATAGAAATTCTACTACACATTTGAGTAGAAATTGTAAGCACCGAAAGTGAAAATCTATTTGTATAATATTTAACCACAGCATGTGTTCATAAACCAATATTCTTTTGAATGAACGAAAGATGTATTGTAGAGGCATTAAAATTAGGTTCCTAAGAACAGTCAATCCATAACCTGTAAATCTAGGGCTGTATGATAACATGAGATGGCTTTTCATTCATGTATTCGTTGTTGATCAGGTCAGCACACTGCTCTCTTGCTTAGCCTTTGTAAATCTGGTGTGCTCCCAGGTGGAGTTGTGGCTTACTGACATAAGCATGGGCTCAGGAACCACTCCCTGCTCTCATTCTGTCCCACCACTAATTGTGTCAACTTGGACAGGTTATGGAGCCTCTCTGCTCCTTGGTTTCCAAGTGTAAAATAATGCCTACTTTGAAAGCCTGTTGAGGATGAAATGAGACATATCAAAGTGCCTAATACACTGTTGGCTTCATAGTAGGTACTCAGAAAATCGTGGTGGTGGTGTTTTCCCTTTAATGAATTGGGGATGACATTTACATACTGATAAACTTTGATTGCGACCTGACTCTTTATATGTCCATTCTTCCTAGGTATTGTGAATAAGGAAAATGCTCTTCGTTAAGCCATATTTGTGACTTCCGATAATTCACTAATACTTTTCAATCAAGAGAACAGCCTTCTAACTTGCCTATCACTTTAAAGTGGTATTTGAAGGAATTGTGTGACACAATTATGACTTTTTAATTAGGCGCCCTAAAAACCTGATCAGGCCTATTGCTTACTTTCTTTGATTCATCTGTCTTCTCTGCTGTGATCACCTTGTTCCTCCTGACATGGAAGGTATATAAGCTTTTGTAGTGTGACTGTATGTTGTGAAGTAGATGAAGGCCAAAGACTGTCCTCTCTCAGTCGTCTTCCGATTGTCTTCCATGGAACCCTACAAACACATTTCTGTATGTTTATTAAAAGCAAATGTGGTCAGGAGAAAATATGTATTTACCCCATCAGCCAGCCCCAGTCTATTAGGGATTGATGGTCATGACACGAAAAGTAACGCCAAAGAGTTATACAAGCTTGAGAAGGTTGAAAGCCACTCTTTAATTAGATAATCTGATGGTTTCAGTTACTTCAGAAATGGAGCTGCAAGAAGAGTTGGCTTACAAACACTTGCCAGGACTATACAATTCTCAGTGCATTTCTGTGCCCTTACATATACATATTTTATAGGAAAATATGAACACCTTTTTTAGACCTTCATTTTTCATATCTTAATATGATGGTGGCTCCAGGGTAGGGCTGTAACTTTGTGATGGTGGCTTGCATTTTGTTTGCATGACTAGAGCCCTTTGCATCTCGTATACATACAAAGACTATGATTTGTGGCTAAAAACCATCAATAGACAGTCCCCAATTTATGAATGAATTGTGTTCTAGATAATGAGTTCTTGAGAATCAGTTGTGGATCATCAGTTTCCGTTTTCCCCATACAAACTATGTTACAAATCTCAGGGTAGTTCTGTGGAGTCAGTACAATTAGGTGTAGTTCTGGGCCTTTGCAGGTAGGATTCTCTTTATTCAGTGAAGGATAGGGAAGAATATGGTTTCCATCCCTTTCCTGGGTATAGGACAAGCTGTAGGCTAAGTTCTGTAATCCTTGAAGACTTTTGTTGAGTTTGGTTTTCTTTCCTTCCACCTTTTTTTTCTTTACCCTTCTCAGGCGCTTAGTACCTTCATGGTATCGTATGTCTCCCAGCACCACGTTACACCCAGACCTCACTATTCATAAAAATTATCTTCCTCTTCGAGCCTCTGGTCAAAATCTCTATTCCCTCCTTGCAGCAGACATTAAACATGTTTACCAGAGGATATTTAAAAATTTTTTACTTTATTGGCATTTCTACAGAGTTTATTGATACTTTGATTGTAAATATATCATCATTGTAGACGATTTAGAAAAATCATCCACAGTCCTTCACTCAGAAATAACCGCTCTTAAAAATACTGGTGTGTTTCCTTTTGGTCTTTTTTTCCCCTATGTATAGAATATTTTTCCTCAATTTAATTTTTAATTAGTGGAATCCTAGGTATTGTAAACCAGTGAAGCGAAAACCTTCATGTAGGAGAAGGAAGATGTTCTAGGACTGAGGTTTTTCATGTAATTTTAATCATGCTTGAAAGTCCATCTCCAAACCTGTTTTCCCAAGTTCTTCCCTTTGTTTTCCCCTTCTGTTGAGCTCATGGAATCTCTAAAACTTCCACATTTTTCTTCATGGTTTCCATGGCAGTAAGAGTATCCTCCTTAATGGTGGGGTGAGAGAGACAAGGTCAAAGGGGTGTATGTACATTTGCGTGTGTGTGCAGGTCGTTTCTAAGTCGAGGACTACCTATAGTTGAAAAATCTCGTGCTGTCTGATTCTCCTCTCGTATTGTGTCTTTGCAGAATGTAAACTATCACAATTCCTGGTCACTCACTGCATGCTGGGCTCTTCAGCCAGCCCTTACCATTTACTAGCATTCTGCACCTGTGTTCTCTCTAACTTTTGCTTTGGTGTGCATTAAAAAGAATTCTTGTGTTCATTTCGTTTGCATCATTCCACTAAATACTGCTTCCACATGTTGGCATCATACACCCTTCATTCATGTCTAAACCAGAATTCTGAGATGAGTTCTTGCTAGAACTTAATCATTTGATGATCTTATCTTACTCATAGGAAATAAAATATAGTGCAAAATCATCTTATTGAACAGTCAACTGTGACATTCAAATACAGTTGACCTTTGAACAATACACAAACTGCGTAGGTCCACTTACACGTGTGCTTTTCTGATAAGTATGACACAGCACTGTAAATGTGTTTTCTCTTCTTTATGATTTTCTTAATAATGATTTCTTTTCTCTAGCTTACTTGGTTGTAAGAATACAGTATATAATACATATAACATACAAATTATGTGCTAATCTACTGTTTATGTTACCAGTAAGACTTCCAGTCAACGGTAAGCTATTACTAGTTAAGTTTTGGGGGAGTCAGAAGTTTTATGCAGATGCTTTTGACGTGCTTTTGACCCCCCCTCCCCCCGCATTGTTCAAGGGTCAACTGTATATTGTTATGGTTATGAAGTTGCTGAGCTTCTCTGGCAGAGCCACTTGTTAACCATAAGTAAGTGAGAAACTAGGACCCCTATTCAGTCTTAGCTGTATTAACACACTCTCAAGTCTCCAAAATGACTTGCCAGATCCTTTTAAACTTGTTTTGTACCTGTTGGTCAGTCATTATATCATTTTACTGCCTTTGTAATCAATTTGATGACAACTTCCAGTTACTTAGTGCTATGTTGCCATTTCCTAGGGGAAAACGTTCTGTTCATTGCCTGTAGGAATTTTTAAAAGGCAAGAAAAAACTGACATAAGGAAAATTGATGGTTTGTTTTTCATTAACTCTTTATATGTTGTTCAATATATTTTAACAGGCACAATACAACGGCATTGGGAATATATATGTAACCATAATAAAGACAAGACGAAGATCCTAGGAGACAAAAATGTTGACCCCAAATGTGAAGACAGCGATAACAAGTTTGACTTCTCAGTGATGTCCTATAATATACTTTCACAAGATTTATTGGAAGACAATTCACACCTCTATAGACACTGCCGGCAGCCAGTTTTACACTGGAGTTTTAGGTTTCCCAATATTTTGAAAGAAATTAAACACTTCGATGCAGATGTAAGTGCAGAATATCATCAAAATTCTTCACATAAAAGTTCACTTGTGTACTGAATGGTTTTATCCCTTTCGTTTGTGGTATGAGAAGGTTTTAAATACAGTGATGGGACAGTTTTTAACAACATAACATGACTTCCAAAGAGTCATTTGCTAATGGTTGTTGGTATAAATAATCACTAAAATTTCAAAAAAGATCCAAAAAGTTCTACTTATCCGTCAGTTTTGAGACAGGGACTGGCAGTATATGAAGTATTTATTTAGTAACGGTTTCCTTTGACTTGAAATGTAAATCATTCTTGTAAAAATCTAGATGATGGCATTCAAAGAAATGACCTCCGGAAAGTACTAAAAGGACATAGTACTAAGGAACATTTTAATTCAAGAAGGACTTAGTACAAAGGAACATTTTAATTCAAGAAAAAGACTCCAACATGTAAATTAAAAAGATTTCTTTTGGAAAATACAAGTTTCAGATAGTAAGAGAGAGAGCTTCATGTATTTAAAGGCCAGGGTTTGGGGAACTGATCAAATTTGGAAATGTTAATTTGATAGTTAAAAAGAAGAAAAGGATTATGTCTTTTATTTCAAGTTTCATTAGGTTTTTAGAATTTTAAAAGCCTGTTTTTAAAGACGAAAGCACCAGAAAGTTCATATTTGGGCTCTGTTTTAACTCACACCATGTTTTTCTTCCAAGGTACTTTGTTTGCAAGAAGTTCAAGAAGATCATTATGGAGCAGAAATCAGACCCAGTTTGGAATCTTTGGGTACAATGTAACTTTTATTTTAGCCAGATTTGTTTTGGAAGATTTGCGTGCTGTGAAAGCATAACTTGCTGACAAAGATGTGTGGTACATTGGGCAAAAAAATCTTAATTTTGAAAAAACTTAATATCCATTTCAAAAAGTCAGGAAGAGATTGAGGTATTTCAAGTGGAAACTTTTGTGTTCATATAGCAGTTTAATTCAAACAGAAAAGCATGTGAGATTCTCTAATTAGCTTCCTTTCCAGTAGTTGCTGTACCCACAGCTAGACCTCTCAGATTCTAAGTTCTGTATCAGATCATTCTGTCTGGTTAGCGAATGGGTAGAAGCTAAAAACCTACTTGATAAGTGAACACTTCTAGAAACAGTGCATCTGTTTGAGAAATGCTGCCTACTTTGCATTCCTTCCTCGGCAAATATTTTTTGAATGCCTACTATATCCTATGCACTGTGGTGGTACAGCAGTGAGCAAATAGATAAAAAGGCTCTGTCCTTGTGGAGCCTACATTCTGGTGGAGGAAGGCTGACAAGTCAAATAAATACTTAAATAGCACACTAGGTAATGAATTTTGGAGAAAAGCAGGAAAGTAGAATGGGTCAGGTTTCACTCTTAAACAATGATCAGAGAAGGTAGGTAACATTCGCGCAAAGACTTGAAGGAGGTGAAGGAACAAGCCACGCCTATAGCATTCCAGACAGTGGAAATAGCGAAGCAAAGACCCTGACGTAGGAGTGCTTCAAGGCAGGTGAGGAGGCAGGTGCGTGTTGAGTGGAACAGGGGAGGAGTTATAGGCAAAAAGGTCAGAGATGTGCCATAGCAGGGGTGGGGATGGTGGTGGTAGATTATCGTAAGCCCTTATATAGTCTTTGTCACAACTTTTACTAGGATGAAAATGACAGCGTGATGATGCACATTAACATATTGGAGACTAAAGTCTGCAAGTGAAGAGACCCATTCCTAGGACCTAGACCGAGTCCCAAACTTAACATCCTACATTGTTAATGTTTTGCAGGATATACTTTGATAAACGTTGTTCAGAGATGTCAGGAGAGCTGTGTTTTGCTATACGTATGTTTATAGTGGTAGTCCCTTGTGTTAAATTTATGCCTTTCTTATAGGTTATCACTGTGAATACAAGATGCGGACAGGAAGGAAACCCGACGGCTGTGCCATTTGCTTCAAACATTCCAAGTTTTCACTCTTATCAGTGAACCCAGTGGAATTCTACCGCCGTGATGTCCCTCTGTTGGACAGAGACAACGTTGGATTAGTGTTACTCCTGCAGCCCAAACTTCCACGTGCTGCCTCTCCTGTGATCTGTGTAGCTAACACACATCTCTTGTATAATCCAAGGCGAGGGGATATTAAGCTGACCCAACTGGCGATGCTTCTGGCAGAGATTTCCAGTGTTGCCCATCAGAAAGACGGCAGCTTCTGCCCTATCGTCATGTGCGGTGACTTTAATTCTGTTCCTGGTTCTCCGCTCTATAGTTTTATAAAGGAAGGAAAATTGAATTATGAAGGACTCGCCATCGGAAAGGTAAGTGCTTGCTTCATGGTTAGTAGGAGATGGACGTAGTCTCTGTTCCTATAGCGTGAGGATCGTTGTCATACGGCTGTTGAAAACCTCAGATGACCCAGTACCCTCACTTCACCAAGCTATGATGGTTTTCCCAACTACTAATGAGTAATTGTGTTCACTTGGTTGAATTTCAGCTTTCCCATCTATCTGAGGCAACATTCTGCTTGGAGGAATTGGCAGGCAGCAAAATATCCTAAATGGGGGAGAAGAAGAAAAAATAAAAGCACTGACAGACAGTACTTCGTAAAGGGGCGCTTGGCCGGCTCAGTCAGTAGAACATGTGACTCTGGATCTGAGAGTCATGAGTTCAAGCCATGTTGCGTGCGGAGCATACTGAAAGACTAAAACTTTTAAAAAAATACTTCATAAATAAGGAACTATTCATAAGGGGGTAGAATGGAATTTTGAATGCTGGATGTGGACAGTATGGTTGGCAAAACAGTAATTTAATATTTCTTTAGTATGCACATCTTCCTTTTCATGATGGTAAATATTTTAATTCCTTAGCTGCCTATATCCCATGTTTATCCCATGTTTTTTTCTTCATTGTGCTCTCTGTTGCTTCAGATCATTTATTTCATCTTCAGGATTTTAACCAAAATAAACTCTCCACCACTGAGTTTTCAGTGATGGTTTAAAATTTTGTGAGAGATGGGGCGCCTGGGTGGCGCAGTCGGTTAAGCGTCCGACTTCAACCAGGTCACGATCTCGCGGTCCGTGAGTTCGAGCCCCGCGTCAGGCTCTGGGCTGATGGCTCAGAGCCTGGAGCCTGTTTCCGATTCTGTGTCTCCCTCTCTCTCTGCCCCTCCCCCGTTCATGCTCTGTCTCTCTCTGTCCCAAAAATAAATAAATGTTGAAAAAAAAAAAATTTAAAATTTTGTGAGAGTTGATCTCTCTAAGTATTTTATATGATAGGAGCTTTGTTGCAGGGAGTAAAAAGGGGGGTGCAGCATTAGTCTAAAGCTATAGATCATGTAGCTGTCCAAATTAGAATAACACGTATAGGAAAAGATTGCCATTTTTATGTAAACAGTAACTTTTTTCTGAACTATATTTGAATAAGATTTTGTGAAGCACAAATAATCACTTACTATGATAAAGAAAGGGTAATATTTACCATTCTTGGATTTCCTCTTCTTATTTAAGACATAAACTTTTCAATACATAAACTACTTAAAATCTATTCACTTAAGATACCTGTTGAAATTTTGTTTAGGTATCTGGCCAGGAACAGTCTTCACGGGGACAAAGAATTTTATCTATTCCAATTTGGCCCCCAAACCTAGGTATCTCACAGAACTGTGTGTATGAGGTACAGCAGTTACCAAAAGTAGAAAAGACAGGTAAGTGTTTGCAGTATATTTTGCCAGTCTCCTTGATAGTAGTGTTCCCTTTGAAGACCTAAAACTAAATTTTTCAAGGGATGCCATCTCAGGGATGAATATTCATATATAAAAACATAATGCTTACTTGTTCAATTCTTTGTTAAAGAACTCTAAATTTACCATTTTTAAGTTGGCCTTCCAGAATTATCTGCATGAATTACTTGCATGTTGTTTTGGAAATCAGTTTTGCTAATTATGGAGACCATCAAAACATACAGATTCCCGGATGAAACATTTAACTAGGCATCCTGTCAAAACTAGATATATCTTAAATATTGTTCCTAGCGTAAGAGGACTATTCTGTGGCAAACTAGAACAAAAGAGTATATCGATAGTTTAATATATTTCTCTTTGTTCTTACAGATGGTGATCTGACACAAACAGAGCTGGACAAAACAGAGGTCCTAGTGACAGCTGAAAAGTGAGTTCTGAAAAGCCAACAATAGACATTTACTAACTTTAGTTGGGTAAAAAAATCATTTCTCAAAAATCTCTTTGGATAAAAAATGAAAATTATGTTATTCCATGCTGATGAAGAAAACTGGCTCTTGAGTCAAATAGACCTGCGTTCCAGTCCTAACTTTGCTACATTTTAGCTGTGTAATTTTGAGCAAGAAAATTAAGATCTCTGCGATTCAGTTTCCTTACCTATAATTTGGGTAGTTGTGAGGAGAGCGTGAGATAAAGCATGGAAAGCTTGATGTTTGACTCTTACGAGGGGCTTAAGGCAGTGTTATTTAAAGCAAAGAGCCTGTCCCTGCACCTGGGCCAGCTAGTACTCAGAAATTGATCGCTATTACGTCCTTTAACAAAGGTCAAGATCACAGGAAAATGCCATGCTTAGCCTCCTTTGACTTGCTGGATCTTAACAGTTTGTAGGGGAATTGACCCAAAAAAAAGGATATACCAGCATAAATAATTATATTTAAATTTTATAAATACTTTATAAAGACATTTACATCTCTTAAACTACAGGAAAGGGTTGTCAAAGGTGGAGGGGAAGATGCCTGGATTACCGGTTATCAAAGATGCATGAATATTTGGGGCTATGGTTGAGAAACAGATGAATATTAATACAACAGGATGGAGATCTTATCTTATCTCTTTGGGAGATTCTTGAAATGTCTTGATTTTATATCGTAGCCCTTTTATTCGTATTTTAATGCGTGTTTTAACATTTATATTTAGGGACCAAATTAGAATCACCTCTTACTCATTTTATCTGCTTTCTTCTCAGTCTTACTATATTTTGTATACCTTGTTTTGACAAAATATTCTCTCATATGTAAGAACCTAGTAAGATAGGAAGTAATAGTTTTTGAAATTTTAAAAAAGAATATTTAGAAATTCATGATTAAACCTTTCAAATATAGTAAAAACTTCCCAGAGTAAGATTAATAAAAAGGCTAATCTGACTTACAAGTATTTGGTTTTGAGTAATTCTAAAATGTTTTTATAACAAAATGGGGTATAAGAAAAGATACTTTTAAGTATCTGTATATAAATATAGTGTGCTTATATGCAGAGCTTATATCTCTAAACCAAAAAATTGATAGAGAACAGTTTGCAGGAGGCATATTTTACATTTAATAGTGTTGTAAATATAAGTCCTTAGACATAAAATGTTGCTAAAACTTGAAAGTCAGGGCATTTTGAAACAGTTACCTTTGTTCTTTGACATTGAGCTTTTGTCTTTCTTTTAATGTTTATCTTTGAGAGAGACAGAGCGCGAGCAAGGGAAGGGCAGAGAGAGAGGGAGACACAGAATCCGAAGCAGGCTCCAGGCTCTGAGCTGTCAGCACAGAGCCCAACACAGGGCTTGAACTCAGGAACTGTGAAATCATGACCTGAGCTGAAGTTGGATGCTTAACCAGCTGAGCCACCCAGGCGCCCCTGACATTGAGCTTTTTAAAAAGCAGGGCAGCATCTTTATATGTGTATCTTAAGCACCTAAGATAGTGCTTAGAACTTAGTAGATATTTGTTAAATTTTTGTTGAATTTTAGAAAGTTAAAAAAAAATTTTCCATGATATAAAAGACCTTTAATCTTCAAGATATGTTTATAGGAAATGATTTTTAAACCCTTTATTTAGTATATCACATGTATGTGTAGCATGGGATAAATATAAACCATTACAGAACCTGTTTTAAGATGCAGTACAAAATTATCTGATATATCACAGCAAGAATAATCATAGAAAAATATGGCCCTCTGACAATGAAAGTCTGGCAGACTCTACATAACATTCATAAAGGCTACTTTTTCTTAAAAACACAACAGGAGCGCCTGGGTGGCTTAGTTGATTGAGCATCCAACTCTTGATTGTCATCTCAGGTAATGATCTCAGGGTCACGGGATCGAGCCGTGCATCAGCTCCGCACTGAGCATGGATCCTGCTTAAGATTGTCTCTCTTTCCCTCTCTCCCTTCCTGCCCCCGAGCCTCTCTCCTGTCTCTCCCCCTCCTCCTTCTTCCTCTGTACCTTTCCCCCATTTGTGTGCTGTCATTAAATTAAATTAAATTTATAACAACAAATAACTTATAAATTGTTTTAGAATACGTATTAGTAAGTGGGGGCTTTCAAATATGTTACAATTAATAATAAATCACATTAGTATGTTAATTATTGAGCTTTTTCCCTCTGTGTGTCACAGCCTTGTTAATGGGTTTTGGATATCCCTACATGAATAAATGAATGTCAGATTGTGATATTGTCTCTTTTAAAAAGCTTGTCTGAATGCCTGGTTTTGTCTGGATATTAAGTGAGAAAGTGCTTTAAAAAGGAGGAATTCTAGGGGTGCCTGGGTGGCTCAGTCAGTTGAGCCTCCGACGACGTCACCTCAGGTCATGATCTCATGGTCTGTGGATTCAAGTCCCGCATCAGGCTCTGTGCTGACAGCTCAGAGCCTGGAGCCTGCTTCATATTCTGTGTCTCCTTTCTCTCTCTCTCTCTCTCTCTCTCTCTCTCTCTCTCTCTCTATCTCTCTGCCCTTCCCTCATTCACCCTCTGTCTCTCAAAAATAAATAAACATTAAAAATAAATAAATAGGAGGAGTTCTAAAAATCAAAAACTTGATGGATGCTAAACACTTTTTCTTTTCATTTTAGATTATCTTCAAATTTACACCACCATTTCAGCTTGTCGTCTGTTTATTCACATTATTTTCCTGACACTGGAATTCCAGAAGTGACCACTTGTCATTCCCGAAGTGCCATAACTGTGGATTATATTTTCTATTCTGCCGAAAAGGAAGACGTTGCTGGGCAGCCAGGTAAAGAATGCGTGCGATCTTACATTGTGCCTGAGAATACAGTAACTAAAACCTCAGGGCTGAGGCTGAGAGGGTCAGCTAAACATCTGGTGAAGTTCTAGACTTAAAAGTTTAAAATATTTTGAAATTGGTAATATATTTGAGTTTACCAGCTAATCCCCTGCAAAACACAGAGGCAGTGATGCACCTCAAAGCAAGTTATTGCCTACGATGTCTGTCCTTAGTGCCTCCTTCCAGTTCCAGTCAGCTTCTTGGTTTTCATTTTATTGGTTTTACTTGCCATAAGTGTACTGTTTTTCTTGTGACAGCAACATCAGATAGTTTTGTAGTTAAGTTTTACTGAGACATGCTGCCTTCATTGGAGGACCTTGCCTATACTGCCAGCAATAGATAGTGTTGTCCTGTAGACCCTGGAATACTGGATCTTTCCAGATCGATAAGTCCATTATGTGAATATGTGGTTTCAAAAAGCGAAGGTGATAAAACACTTCTCCTTGTATGATTCAGTGAAAGTAAGGTTTTAAATATTAACCAAATGATTTGATGTGGAGAAGAAAATGCAGTTCAAAATGACTGGCAGTCAAAAAAATACCATTCAGAAAACTTCGAAAGTCCAAAATGTGGGCAGATGTTTTGTCTTTTCTGATTCCACCCCCCCTTTTTTTTTTTTACTACTTTCCTTTTTTCCTTTTTTCTCCTGTTTGTGTTTTCCTTCCTACCGAGGATAACTATTAGTAATACTCAGGACTTGGTTTACCCTGCCCACTAGAGAGAGTCTAGGAAATAGTCTTCCTGCTTTGAATTTGTTGTAGGGGTAGTTGTCATGCTGTAAGTGTTCACTAGGTGGCGGGAGTGTGCCATGGACCAGCATCTCCAGTGATCCTGTTAGAATACGTCCTCTTTCTCTACTGTGGGCACTGACTCTGTGGGACCAAAGTATACTAATTTTTCTTTAATGTTTATTTTTGAGAGAGAGAGAGAGCATGAACAGGGAGGGGCAGAGAGAGAATCCCAAGCAGGCTCTGTGCTGCCAGCTGTCAATGCCACCCAACTGGCTGAGCCACCCAGGTGTCCCCAAGGTTTACTAATTTATTCTCTCTCCAGTCACCTTATAAACTTCCTATTCCACCATGGCTGGATCTTTCTGCTTTATACAACTACAGAATAGTTGATGAATGAATTTATGTAGTTGTCAATCCCAAATTACTTCTAACATTATCTTTACACCGATACTTTTTCTAAAGATTACTTGCAGGGGTATCTGGCTGGCTTGGTTGGCAGAGCTTAATCGCAGCGTCATGAGTTCAAGCCCCATGTTGGGTATAGAGATTACTAAAAAAAAACAAACAGAAAAATAAGATTATTTGTAGAACTGAAAACAAAAAACTCTGAACTAGAAAAAAACAAACATCTGAAACTGCTGTGTGTCTGAGAATTATAATTAGGTTATAACTCAATATGAAATTTAATCATGCGGTGCTGGATGGCTCAGTCAGTTAAAGCATCTGACTCTTGATTTTGGCTCAGGTCATGATCCCAGGGTTGTGGAATCAAGCCTCGCATCGGGCTTTGCACTGACAGCACTGGGCCTGCTTGAGGTTCTCTCTCTCCCTCTTCCTGCCCCTCCTCTACTCACACGTGCACTCCCTCTCTCTCTCCCTATCAAAATGAATAAACTTCAAAAAATTAAATGAAATTTAGTCATATTCTAAGAACTGTTTCCTGTGAGACTTCTAGAGGGATCTGAAGTTCCTGATCATCATTTTTTTAAAAAATAAAGACTTGTGTGATTCATTTACAGTGACCTGTTGACACAGTTATGCTAAATATTAATGTGTTTCTTTAATGTAGGAGCTGAAGTTGCTCTGGTTGGTGGCTTGAAACTTCTGGCCAGACTATCACTCCTTACAGAACAAGACTTATGGACTGTTAATGGACTTCCAAATGAAAATAACTCTTCGGATCATCTGCCTTTATTGGCTAAGTTCAGACTTGAGCTGTGACTCTTCTTTGACGACACATATACTTTTGTGTCCCATTTGTATTCTTTTTCACAAAGTGTAAAATAGCTCTTGAGAGTTTGCATGTTTATTTTTGCGCTGTGGAGTTTCGGAAGAGGTTCTGTTCAAGGCTTCAAACAGATGTCGGAAGAAACAAGTTTACAACAATTTTCTTTGTAATAATGAGAAAGTATTTCCTGACCAGTGAGTTCTAAATGCTCCCTCCTTGTTGTAAAAGAGTTGTAAATATTTTTTATCCTAAATCCCAGTAAAATTGACAGTGATTTTTAAATATAGCACATCCTCTAGTGTTAGTAAAGAATTTCGGTTGATGTTTTTGGCAAGCTTTACAGTGGATCCAAAGTATCTCTGAGTTCTTGCAAACCACAACTCATTTCCCTTCCAGAAGGCTTGATTTCATTGTGTGGACCATCTGTTTGTCAAGTCCTAATTCATCTCAGAAATCACTGGGTCGTTCACAAGTGTCTAACCAACCATTTTAGTTTGGTTTTGAGGGGGCGTAATGATGCTTTCTAAAATTGTACAAATTGCTTAATCCAGCTTATTACTATCCTGAGCCATGTAATGTGTCTACGTTTTGTTGGGAAATGTAGTAGGAGAGGAGTTTTACACATGCCCTCTCTTTTCCATCCTGTGGGACAGGCCATTCCAGCATGCCGGAAAGAGGCAGAGACTGGGTTTTAACGCTTTCATTTCCCTAGCAATTTTTTTTTCCTTTTTTCTATTCCATTTCAGGAAGACATCCCTAGGTTGGGGGAGAGACTTTATTTTTCTGAACCAGTTCTATAGAAATTTAATTTATTAGGAAGCTTGTCTTTAGAACAAAATGTCAGCTATAAGATTATTTTGGTTTTGCCTCAGATACTTAGGAAGCCCGCAAAACTAGTGGGGAGATACCAACTTGGAGACCTAATACTCGCAAGTAGTAATTTAAGCTTAGTCGTTTTGTTTCTAAGATGTTAGCTACTTTGTTTTCTTTTATCATGAGGCCGCAGTGTGCATGGTGCTGACATTTTTTTTTTGTAAAGTGGTTAAGAGCAGGTCTAATTAGTCTCACAGCTGGCACTATGTCAATGTTTGAATCAAAAATTTTAAAACCGAAAAAGTGAAAATGTCCCCTTTTTTGAGGCATTAGGATCAAAGAGTTATGTGCGTTTTTACTAAGTAGTAATTTTATATTTGAATTACACCGAATTATAAAAGTTTCTACAATGGGCATTCTTCGTAGAATGACTCCTGTGAAATTAGAAAGCAGTAGTTCCTCCAAGTCCTGGACTTCAAAGGTTTTTGTACGAAAGTATATTGACTACAGTTATTTTTTAACAAAATAAATCAGATGACTACCTGAACAAAGCATGTGGGTTATAAGGATTTGCCTAGTAAAAATTGTAATAAGCAATTATTTTTAAATGTTTCATTTCTCACTTTTTTGGGTTTTTACTTACAGTATTACCTGTAGTTCTAAGATTTTCCACATTTTCTAGTAACAGTTTGCAGAATATTCAGTGTTCTAATTAGCAGATATTGTTGCCGTCAAATAATAATAGTGTAATTAATCCCTTTTAATATTGGGGAAAGAAAAAAGAAAATTCATTAAGTACCGCTTTGTGTTACGTGAGTTTATTAACAAATAATTTTGTGTATAGGTCATTGTTGGCAAACTAACATCCCTGAAAACCTCTGTGAAAACTTAATGTTTTGTATCCTGATTAATATATTGACTTTAGGCCCTTTTCATGTGCTTCACTTTGTAGAGTTAATCCATAAAAATGCTTTCTACTTTAACCTATAAAGTGTAGTAGTGTTTTGTGAACTGGAGGCCAAAGCGTCCATGTAATAACCTTCCCACAGGTTTGTAAAGCTCCACTAAAATTAATGATCTACTTGTCTTTACTTTTTACGGTCAGAAGAATCGGAAACTCTGTTGGAGCCTTGTACTTACCCGCCAAAGGCATTTAAACCCGGTTCATTGCAGAAGCCAGATCCCCCCCAGTCTGAAGTGCTGTACTATCCAAGTTTTAAAATGGAAAGAGATGCTGTTGAGTAATGAATTTTGGTTTTACTATACCTTTTGATATCAACATACTATGCATGTTTGAAATCTTGTCTTTTTTTCTTTTTCTTTTTCTTTTTGGAATTTAGCAGCTGTCTGCTTTTAACCCTTTGCTTTCCTAAAAACCCAAGTTAGAGATCCAGAGAGTTCAAGGGGTTGAAAGAACAGAGAAGTCAAGTCATTTGTGCTGTGTCCCTGTGAATCACCTAATAAATTACTACACTAGTGCATCTATGGCTGAAGGTTTCGTGGCAGGCGTGCTAAGCTGCATATGCTGGGCTGTTGCCCCTTCTAAACTATTTCATTACCCTGAGCCTGTATTACTTAGGGTGATGCTGAGATGTAAGTGAATTAAGATGTGGCAAAACAGAATAGTGTTTAATAGAGAGTCTGAAAATTGTGGAAGAAGACAGGGATGAGAGAGTGATAAACATGTTTGCCAGGACAAGTATGTAGTCAAAGGACGAGAAAAAAAATAAATCACACTATCTTACATTCTTGGAAGAAGAACAATCCTTCAGTTTCCAGGATGGTTTTATTAAAGTCCCATGCTGTGTATAAACATACAAGTGATGAGAAAAACGTTAACTTGAAACATGCACTTATCTGGCATTCTCTAAAATACCATTATACAAGTTTTCCTTTACTTAGAAAAATACCCACTAAAACAATCACAGTTTTCCTTAAAGATTTAAAAAAAATGTATTGGCCAGAACAAAGTCCAGGAGAATAAACAAGATTCTGAATTGTGTGTCAAAAAAACTGTACAAGGTTGTACATAAAACTATAGCTTACAAAAGCCTCGGGTATAGTAAGAATACAGAATTAAGATCTCCAAAGTTCTATTTACCAATATCTATTAATAAAATCCTTATGAAATAATTGACTTAGAAAAAGTGAAATGCTCATGATTTCAAAGTGTGTAGAAAATACTAAATATCACTTTCTGAAATAAAGTGTACTCAAAACAGCACAACATGTAGTCTAAAATCAAGATTTCTGTCATCCATTTAAACTTTGCCATGTATCCCCATAATGGCTTGAGCACAAAACTTCTCTTGCACGAATAACTTTCAATACTAGATTCAAATCATCTCATAGATTTCCTTTTTATCTTTTGAATTATAGCCAGTCTTAAAATCCATTTTGGGGGTAAATCATGCCATGGTTTTTGTTTTTTGGGTTTTTTTTTTTAACCTTAGTATCATTTTAATTAAATTATTGCACTAGAATGTAGGAGTTTGGTGCCTGTCTCAAATCTTTTAGACATTAACATAATTCCATAGGCAATGAAAATAGAGTGAAAACTAAGAGCATTTTAAATTAATTTTCCTGTTTCTGCCACGAACACTTGCTTGGGGGAAATGAATCTTAAAATCAAGGAGCGGAAAAAAATCAGGTTACTAATCGAATCATCAAGACAGTTGGCAGTTTTAAGGCTTATACATCAGAATATTAGAAATGGTCTGTGTTCCTGTTCTTTTACCCATTTTTGTGGGAAACAAGGCTCTGCAACTACTGACCTTTTCTATTTTGGATGGGACAGTACTTGAGCAACACTTGGAAAATCCTGTTCCAGGCTCTTAGAAAATCCTTATTCTAAGCTACTTATACTGCAGTGGTATAAATACTTATTGGAGATAACAAGATTTCACATTGATAAACATAAGATATGTAAATCTTGTTTTTCACACATAAAAGGAGCTAAGTCGGGATTGTTTTAGAAGAAGAACGAATTGACTAATTCAAATGAGTTTGCCTTACGAAGACGTATAAAGAAACCTCATTTTAAACTCTGATAATAGTATTCTTAAAGTGATCAAGTTCAGAATTTTTAACTTCTGTATTTTCACCTAATTGAGATGTATGCTTACTCGGTACTTTTCATGTAAAGGACATTAAATGTCCTTTTTCAAGAAAATACTTGCCGTTGATGCCATTGAGTTTTAGCATAAAGCGAGCTCGTGCATACGTGGCCAAAGGACAGAGTCACCTTCGGTGGTTTTATTGGTCAAGAATCAAGCAGATTCTTACTTTTTTTACTCCCTTTCTGAAATCACCTTCAGTGAAAGAAAGCCAGAGAGGAAGCACTGAGACTAAAATAACACTTGCGTTGACTAGTAGACTTCACTTACATACGCCTGTGGGCCTCACGAGTTGGCATGGCGGCTGAGAAAACACAGACGCAAAAGAAGCATACTCCTGATATTGCTAACACAGATTTGGCTGTTAGAGTTCTTCTGTGTGGCCCGCAGCCGGAAGTTCCACTGTGACCACCATATGCAGGCCACATGCTCCTACTGCCCTTGATGGACGACATCAGGCTATGAGGTGTAACCCTGTACCTGAGAGACTTTTCCATTTTAAAAAAGGCTCTGCTTCTCTCATTCACTGCATTTTCCAATTGCTAGTTCCTAAATGTCACGAAGTGGTACTTTAAAAAGCAAGGTACTGGAAAATGATCACATCGTGCCACGCTTGGTCTTAATATAAGACATCGGAACACGTCTCTACCAGCCGTGAGTCCTTCAGAATCGAGGTCTGACTCAGAGTTCAAAAATCAGATGGAACGTTGAAGAGAAGGGTTATCTGCTTCTCCAGGCTCTCTACTGATCCACTGCGGGCCTCTGCCTTGCTGAGTGTGTGGCTGTCAGAGGTCGCTGCAATATTGCTCAATCTGTGTCACGGCGCTATGACCTCTTGTGCTTTTTTTTTTTTTTTTTCTTTTTTGCTGGAGTTTGCAAAGTTTAAATGTCAGCGACAGAACATAGACTACCTCCTGCACGTGCTTTTTGTTTTGTTTTGAAAGAACAGAAACTGCTGTCCGTGAATGCTTTTAAGAAAGATTAAGAAGTAGTTCCAACATCCTGAAAATAGTTTCCCGTACTGCCAGGAGAAGTTCAGTGCTTTTTTTTTTTTTTTTTTTTTTTTAGTAAAACACTTGATATAATACCTTAAATCTCATTATGCGTGCACCAGGAAAAAATTCCAAACTTTGTGGAGATCCCCATTGGAAATATCGGGGAAGCAATACAAATAGAATATAAAAAAAATGAAAACACCATTAAGTTTGCATATCTGATGTCAAGATGCTGAGGTAATATTGACTGCTTACAAAAAAAAAAAAAAATCCCACCAATCTTTGCCTCTGTTATTGCTGAAAAAGACATTAATACTGAGTTACCTTACTATATCAAAAGTAGGAGGGAGGGTTTCATTAACATTTCCTACCGGTGAGGCATAATGTTCAAAAGCAAGTCAACAAAAACAGGTGAATGGGAAAACATAAAACTACAGCTTATGGTATTACCCTTTCTATCTGTAGTGAGGGAGTCAGTCCAACCGCGGTGGGCTTTCTTACTTCAGCCTTTCCATGGTTGCCCCTTCGTGCATTTTCTTTCAAAGTTAATTGTTGCCACCCACTCCGCTTCCACGTCCAAGTGAATCCGTAAAAATAAAACCCACAGGTTCTCCATAAATAGTTGCAGTTCCTCCTGAAGATGCTGGGGTAAAGTGCAGAGAGAAGCACCAGAGAAGCCCCCTTGTTGGCTGATATGGCTTGCCTAAATTCGGATTTGGTAGCCCACTTCATTCAGCGTGCTGAGGTCAGCCACCTTCTTCTCAGGCAGTGCAGGCCTAAGGGACCAAGAAAGGTGGTAGAGTGAGGGCATGGGAGAGAGAAAGGTCACTTAGACTCTGGGAACTCTGTTTCTTTCTCCTAACCCTTCTGGTGCTTGTCCCCTCCACCCCCACCCCCCCACCAGCCTGAGTTCCCAGCTCAACCTCGTGTTCTCAGGTCCACTGCTATGGGATCTAGGGAACATTTTCACAGGCTTTTGATGTACAGTTCAAAAGCATTTTGGGGTTGCCAAATGAGTTTGTCCAACCTGAAGCCTGAATTCGGTCACACTCGAACTTCTGAAACCCAGTTATCCGTAAACCTTGCAAGGGTCTAAAAAGTTACATCTAATACGGTAGAACTAAAAACCTGAGCCAGATTCTCCTTGAATTCTTAGCTTCCTGGTGTTTGTGCCCCGGGGGAAGCCCAGCCACTAACTTCAAGACCGCTCAGGTGACAGATTCGCAGGGAGAGATTCTCTACTATCTTTGATAGAGGGTTACTGTTCAGGCCTGAATGCATCAAGTCGGGGCAAATCCTTTACAAGTCATCTGAAAAAGCATGTCAGGTGTGGAAACTCATTCAGTGGCAAATCATCTCCTCTGTAAATACATTTTCTGAAGTACTAAGCATTTATGTGAAGTCATGTAAGAAAGTACTTCAAGCTGGTAAAGGAAAATCAGAAGGCGCATCATCTGTCTTCATTAAAGACATTTCCTCGATGATTTCCCAATATAAAACTATGCCTAAGCATTCGACGACTTAGCTCACAGTTTCCCCATTTCTCAGTGAGCCTCCTACCCTCTTGGATAAGAGAGAACTGAGATTAAAAACCAAGTTTAGCAAAACAAAAAAACGTTAAAACAAAACAAAAACAACCAACTTTAGCATATTCAGTGTGGCTAGTGAGTCCTGATCCAAAAGTTTATAAGAAGACTGAAGACATTTTTACACTACACGTGAACCTTGTTTTAAGTGTTTGAAGAAAAGAGACCAAAATGAAAATATAATTGTTTAAAAGTTTCTTGCTTTATCCTTTGAAAGGCTTCCTAACAGCAAACGGTTTTCCCCTGGCATGAACGTGGTCCAACTCATTCAACGTTATCAGAGCCAGAAA